CCTCCAACTCAGCTATGATTTTGTCATCCTGTTCTTGTTGTTTCTGAAGGGACTTCTCTAAATCAGTTACTCGGATCCTTAAACGCTTGTTCTGGTACTGACTTTTTAAGAAATGTCTTCGAGAAGTCTTTAGTTGTTCTTTCACGGCCTCTCTTTCATCTTTCCCTTAAAACTTCCTTTTCAGGTTGCTAGTTTTACTTTTCCAGTACTTAGAAGTTCTTTTCAAATTAGAATTGCTTTGGACTTGTTCTTGATATCCTTTTCTCAAGTCTTAGAGTTCAAAGCAGATTTTCTTCTATTCATTCTCTAACTAGTATGCCTGATCCTTCTAAGTATCGACATCTAATTTTCACTGGAACCTTTCATCCTCGAGTTCCCTTAGCCTTTGTTTTGACTCTTTCTTTACAGCTTCAAATTCTTTCCTTGCTATTTCTAGCTCGGATGGAACATGCTTAAGATGTTCTTCCATGGTTCGAGTATATTCATGATCTGGCACGGGGATGGTGTCTTTTTTCCTTAACCTCCGTTATTCCAAATAGTCTAGAGTAAACATGTCTTTAACGACCACGACATCCATTCGGAACACTTTCTTCTATAATTCAACTACTTCTTTGCCCTTTTCTTGTAGTTGTTCCCATGGTATGCAAATTCTGATCTAGATATTCTGTGCGTTGTTAGGACAAACCGGCATGCCCCATACTGTCGAAGTGCCAAAAGTGGAGAATATCTGACTCCTCCCCATAATCCAAGTAAAGTCATAGTTTTTGATTCTCCACATCGGAAAATAATCTCGCTATGGGTTAACTAGGGGCTCTCCAGACAATATCCTTATCTTGAAGATGTGTGAATACTTTTATCCACTTTTTTTTTGGGATACCTTCTTGCCATTTCAGGGTGAGGAATTCCCCCAAACGAGAATAATTGGTGTTGAATCGGCTGTAAGAAATCTCGTTAGTCTTCCAAAAGTGACTATGGATCTAAACTTGGAGAAGCTGTGAACACCATATAAATCTTCCTCCATCAATGTTTCTGCAATGGTTGAGGGAGCAAAAAGTTTCAGCTAAAATTGGCGGTGTCGAATTTACTCGTCTTGAGAGTTGTTCGAGCAGTTCCACCATAGCTGCCTCAGTGTACCCAAAGTCTTCGGGAAGATAACCAAACCATAAAGGTCCAACGCAAAAATGTTCATTGCCTTCCATTCATTGGAGTGATTCTTCATTAGTTGTTTGATATGGGTCCAATCAATTCCTTCCCCACTACCTTTGTGTTGAATCTGGTTAGTTACCCATTTCTCATCTACCCCCGCAACTTTTGCTAGTCTGTTCTTGAAAGGCTAACTTTTGATGTGCTTGATGTAGACCCGGTTAATTCTAATTCCCTCGTAATTCAACAATGTGGTATACTCTTCGATTATGGGTACCATGTCTTCCTGGTTAAAGGTGAAACAGTTGTACCCCAGATTCCAGAATTGTACTAGGGCTCTGATTCATCTGTCTTGACATAGAGTAGAAGTGCGATATCACCATACCACTGGCAGAACCTCCAATTTCTTGTCACTTTTCCAACTGTCTCAAATACTTTGTAGTTCTTGAACATCATTCTGCTTTAGGCTGACAAAAGCATAGCTAACCAGATCTGACACATAGCTTTCTTGCAGACTGTGTCCCTTTTCTTTCTAAGTCTTTTCGGACCATAGTCGTACCTCAGCGTTTTTCACATCTTGCATTACAACCCCTTTGTCCATTAATACATATTATTTGTGTGTAACGAACACCTTTTTATGGATCAATTACCTCTTTTTAAGTTGCAAATGATAAAAAAAACATGAAAGAAAAATCAGTTAATAAGATAAAAATAATAATGATAATAGTAAAAAAAATGATAAACTGCATGATAAAAGTAAAAACATCCTAGGTTTTGAAATGGAGTTTCGGGGTGGGCTCTAATTCCTTGTAGTCTCTCGAGTTCTCCTTGCTGGTGCCCCCTTGGGCTTGCCAGACCCTCAGTCCTAAGCCCATTGCAAGCCTATGCGGACCAAGTTAAACTCGAGAGGATACATTCTCTTATGTCTATACAGAGAATAAATTCCCACGAAGACATAAGGTATTTGAATCCTGAAGGTTACTTGCTAGGCCTATACAGAGAATAAATTCTCACAAAGGTGTCGCTTTCACCTCCACTTAAGAAAAGGTTTCGCGCTCGGGTATGGAGCCTGAGATGGAAAGAGTTTAAAAAGTTGAAACCATTAAAAAATGTCAGTATAACTATATATTTGAAAAAATAATCAAATGTAAGAAATAAGGATCAAAAAATTAACTTAAAATTTAAACTTACAATTTTTACTTAAGAAGACAACCAAAAATTAACCTTAGCCTGACTCACTTACATGTCCCTAGCAGAGTCGCCAAGTTGTAGCAACCGTCTCTCAGGTGGGCCCGAAATTGGGCTTCGACTTAAATAAGTGGGTTAGAGTCGCCACCGATAATTTATTTTAAGAACAAAAATTGCTTGATCGGATACCTCGGTTTGTTTTCTTACCTGATCTACATCTTACCAAAAATATGTCGGGCACGGGAGTCAGTTACAGTAAAGGAAGGATTAGCACCCTTGTACTGTCCTTTCGGTACTAATTTAATTTCCAGTTGTCTTAATTAAGAAAATTGAAAGTTAAATTAAAAGTAAAAATTCGATCCAAATTACTTACCTCCGATCGATAAAAAAAATACCCCTAAAAAGTTAAAAAGATGTTAGATTGCAAAAATAAAATATGGAATGAATCAGAAGGAAAAACTAGTAGAAATTAAATTTTAATACTTTAAATGAAACAAAGAAAAAACACACACATACATACCGAGAAATAAACGAAAAATAAAATTAAAAGAATATAACACAAAAAAATGGAACAAACTCATGCCCAATAAGGGGTCAGATCATGTATGTTAGGAAAACGTGGAATAAAATAAAAAAATAATGTAAAGGAAGGAAAAAAAGAATTAAAAATTAACAAAATGTAAAAAAAAAATTGTGATGCAAAAATAAAGAGAGGGACGAATCTGATAATTTAAACAAAGTACAGGACGAATTTAAAAGAAATTTTAATGAAATTCAGCAAAAAGGGGTAAAATCAAATTTCAAGAAAAGTTTCAGGGACTAAAACCACAATTTGACCCAATCCCTTGAAAACACGCGGATCCTGGGGCCTTGAATCGGGTTCACAGGTTGAGTATAAAACCCATCATGCAATAAACAAATTTCATTTTTCACACCCCTTAAAAAACGGATCAAAATCCCTTTTCATTTTTCCTCTGAAATGTTCTTCATGTTTTTCAACACATGAAGAACATTCAACCGAAACCCAGTTTCTGGCCATGCACTGCCTCGCCGGTCGCCGTTCATCGGCGGTGAATTTTTTGTTTTACATTTTTCGAAAGCTTTCGGTTTCCTCTCTTCGAAAATACCATTGGTTCTTATAAAAAGTTATCGGGGAGGGCTAGATCTGAGAAAGGCTTCTCGAATGCCTCCCCTTCGATCATCGGCCAAAAGGGTTCTTCGAACCAAAATGAAAAAAAAATGTCAAACCGAAAACGGAGACCAAACACTTCAAGACTCGAACCGAGAAAAGGTAAAGAAAATAATACCTATTTTTATTGATGCTTTCCGTTCAAGATTATAGTGGTTTTGCTTGATTTTTCCTTGTCTTTCTATCGTCCTTTTTCCTTTACATTTTGCATGGATTTATAGGCTTAGAAATCCCCTCTTTTCGGTTCGTTTTAGAGTCCTATTTAGATTGAAATGCTCCTTTCTTTTGGGTTCGTTTTAGAGTCCTATGTAGACTGAAATTGTTTTCTATTTTGACTTGATTCCCACGATGGCTTCAATAAATCCGGGATGTGACTGATGCGGCCAGAGTGAGGACTCTCCAAGAGTTCTACAACTGTCATTTTGACCATCGAATGGTACCCTGTTGATCCAACGGTGCCAGACATGCGACTCTAAAGTGAACAGAGGTGAAACCCTAGCTCCACTAGCGGGCTTCACACGTGTTGGGCTTGGTCTGTTGGGCCTAGTGGGCTATTTTGTAGTTGGTTTCGGGTTGGGTTGTACCTAACAAAAACAAAGAAAAATTATTAATTTGTTAAAGTAATATATATATTAAGGTACTATATAATATATATGTATGCTATACCATAAATATACAATGCAAAAATAATATATAAATTCGGACGAAAGAATGTGTCCACATGTGTTTATAAAGTGTGTACGTTAAATTTTTTTAGATATATTACCTATAATATTTAAAAATATTAACATTGTATTAAATACAAAACCATAGAGAGAGAGGGCATATCTAAGGAGGAGCAGGGTCCCAGCATATGAGAAGTTTCTTAACACTTGTAAAGTTTTAAATTAATATTACGATGAAATTACCTTATATCTCCTTAAAAATAATAAAAATTTTATTTTCTAAAAAATATATAAATATAAATTAATAAAAAATTACATTTAAACTCTTTAAAAATATTATGAATGTGATCCGTTTTTAGTGGCAATGCCAGTCTATAAGCTACATTTTCAACTCTCTCTCTAAGATCTCGTACGATTCAATAAATTTTAGACTCAATTTTATCCCGCGACCAAAACCTAACACATTCTTTTTAATGTGACACTCCAATGAAGACTTTATCTCCCATCAAGAGTCTGATATCTTTAAGTTTTAAATTTATATAAAACTTCTGAGTGACGATCAAAAGATGTGTTTATTAAAAATCCAAAATTAATAAATATATCAACTTAATTTTAGCGCTTTTAATAGATTTTCTCAATTCTCAATTTTAGCCCTTCCTCCTATATCCAAAGGGAAAAAATAAAATAAAAGAGAATAGCCATGATTTGTGTTTCTATTTTCTTTTTCATTTTGGGAAGGCAATGAAGAAGCTAAACAAAACAACCCCACCACAAGCTAACAAATTCCAACGTTGGAATCCCCTAAAAAACCAACCATGGCTTGGCGACCTGCAGCTGTAAATAAGGCTTCAAACAAAACCCATGTTCTCCGACAACCAAAATCTTCTTCGTCTTCTTCTTCCCCAACGCTTCAAATCCTAGCCTTCGAGACAGCCAAATGCATGGTCCGCCTCGTTGCCCTTTACAAATCTTTGTCGGACGATGAATTCCTTAAATTTCGAAAAGATGTCATGAAATCCCCAGGCGTCGCCACTTTGAACTCCGATGACGAAACCTATCTCTGTGGCCTTGCATGCAGAGAGATGCTCGAGAATCTCGACCAGGCCGCCTCCGTCGTGTCGCTCCTGGGCAAAAAATGCATCGACCGGGAACTAAATAAGTTCGACATCGCGTATCATAACATGAAACAGGGAATCGTCGATGCCCAACACCTCGATTTCAACTCCAAACGTGTCGGTAAAATCATCGAGCAGATGGAGAAATACTCTAGCTATACATCTCTGTTGTATGCATCTTTGGTAGACCTCGAAGAAATGGAAATATCAGAGAGAAAAATGAAGAAATGGAAGCGAAATGGTACTAACCGCAACAACGTTAACTACTTCAACGAGGAAATCTCTTTACGAAGAAAACAAATTGCACAGTTCAGAAAAATTTCTCTTTGGAACCAAACGTACGATAAAATCATTGGGTTAATGGCTCGAATCGTATGCGTCCTTTTCGTCCGAATTTGCACCATTTTTGAACCCTTTGATACAACCCTTCCATGCATAACCAATAGCCGATATCCCATGAGACGTCTCTATAACCCGAGCCCCAAATCAAATGAAGATAAAGGCTCCGTTTTTCGACTTTCGGCCTTCACCAATACTGATAAACTAATCACCAAAAACAAAAACATCGAGGGAAATGCTCGAGGGAACTACCGAATGCTGATCCATTCGGCACCGGAGAACACCGTGGGAGCGGCGGGGCTTGCGCTTCGTTACGCGAACGTGATCATAATGGCCGAAACGTACTTTTATTCGACGTCAACGACGACGATGAGTAAAGGCGCAAGGGAGTACATGTTCGAGATGTTACCGATGAATTTGAAGCAAACGCTGAGAGGGAAGCTTAAAAGCCATTGGTGCAAAGATGCAGAAGCAAGGGAAGGGCAGCAGGGTTTGGCACAGCGGTGGAAAGTGGCGTTGGAGGAGATATTAGGGTGGTTGGCTCCGATGGCGCGTGATACTTTGCGGTGGCAGCAGGAGAGGAACTTGGAGCAACGAAACTTGGATGCGAAGCCCGCGGTTTTGATGCTGCAAACGTTGTATTTCTCGGATTTGGAGAAAACGGAGGCTGCGATTGTGGAAATCTTGGTAGGGTTGAGTTGTATATGTGGATATGAGAATAGGAGGAAGAAGGGTGGTGTTTGATATGATTGATGAGAAATAAGGTTGGTTTTCTTTTACTTGATATTAGGGTTAATCTAACATGGTCATTGTTGGAAGGTATCAAAGGTCTTTAAAATGGGGGCAATGAGCTTCTAATAGCTTCAAAGTCAGGAATCTACGTGGTGGTACTCTTAAATTTGAAATTCTCACATAATTTAAATATTTTATTTATATTTTTATTATTAATATATTTTTTATTTTTAAAAATTTTATAAATCCATTCTTAAAAATTTATAAATTCATCCTCCAATTTAAATATATATCTTAAGATTTGAATTTCATATAATTTAAATATTTTAAACTCTTCAGAACATAAAACAATGAACCTTATCGTAGTTTTAATTGTTAATACTGAACTTAATTTATCGATGCATTCATCAACTAAACACTACTCTTAGTCCCATATTTTTTTCTCAAGTTGACTAAACACAAAGTTTTAAGAGATAAGTTTGACCATATGTTAAGTTATATAAAATGAAAAAAATGAAAAATTTATCCTTAAAAGTGATTAAAATATTTGTTTTGATAGGTAAATGTGGGACATAAAAGGGTAAAAAAATAAATCCCACATAAAAGGGTAAAAAAAATAAATATAAGTGTTGTTGTTTATTGACTTTCTAATAGGACATTTTAAGTGAGACAATTTTAAAAATCAATTCTTAAAAAAAATTATAAAAATCAAAATGGACAAAAATCATGAGAGGGGGAGAGTATAATTTTATCTTATAATCATATAAATCAAAGAAATTAACACAATATTTTAACAATGTACCAATTAATTTTATATTTCAATAATTTTATTACAAAAATTAATATTTCATAACATAGAGCAAGTACATTGGTTGGTTGCTCAAGTTGTTCATATTTGTTCTTTCATATCTTTTGATTGCCAGTATTGATGGTAGTTTGTTGAAAACATTTTGATGTTTCGATATAACAAATTAAGTATAAATGAATTTTAAGATTTTACAAATGAATTTTAAGATTTTACAAATGATTTTCTAAGTATATTCGATTTAATTACTCGAATATCAAAATATTACTCCAAGACTTTCAAAGATCAATTTCAATCCTTACTAAAGTGTAAAATTGTGTTTTAATCTTAAAATATTTTTGAAACAATTTTCACAAAGTATTTCGAACAAAAAGCGAGCCTAAAATCAATTTTTCAAAAGAGTGTATCGATGCACCAATCTATACATCAATGCACCGTTGAATAAATTGAACATTGAATGCATTTTATGCATCGATACACATACCATGCATCGATGCACTCAAGATTTTATGAAAACATCGAATGCATTTTTTGCATCGATGCACAAGCCATGCATCGATGCACTCAGGCTATTTTAAAACATCGAATGCATTTTATGCATCGATGCACTCTTAGTGCACAGTGCACCGATGCACTAAGGGTCCAACGGTCGAAATATTTGAATTTTACACATAGTGTACCGTTGCACTAGCCCTATGCATCGATGCACCAGACGCTCCCAACTGTTTTATTAATTGTTTTCACACTTAAACGACTCTATTGACTCCACTAATCATCCCCAACGTTTAGACTCAATTGAAGGAGTATTTAAACAAGCTTAGAAGCCATTGATCAACAACAAGAAACAACAAGAAACAAAATCAAGAGAGAATCAAAGAGAAATCATCAAACTTATTGTTTGAGCACTTCAAGCCTATTTTTCATTCAATATTCATTCTGCTTTCAAGAACACTACTTGTACTCAATTGTATTCATTCTTGAGTGTTCTTTCTTTGTTCTAGAATTGTGCAAACATATTTGCCTTGTGATGTTTTTCATTAAGTTTGCGAATTTGTAATCTTCTCTTTGAGAAAGAGTGATCTTAAGAATTGGGGTATATTCTTGAGAGAGTTGTAAGGCTATCTCTTTGGCCTCAAAAGAAAGAACAAATTAGTGAATTTGTTGGAAAATCCTTAGTGTGGATAGCTAAGGTAGTGGACGTAGACTTTGGTTAAGAAAGTTGAACCACTCTAAATCGCTGTGCAAATATTTTCAATTTTCTGCAAAAGCTTCCATCGAAATTTTTAATTGCCAATTCACCTCCTCTTGGGCATATTCGTCGATCGATTAACTCAACAATTGGTATCAGAGTCTCACTTATTTGAAGGTTTAATCGCCTCTTGAGTCTATTCGGGAAGAGTTACATCGATAATCAAGTCATCAATGGCCTCTACTTCAAACTCCGACTTCGGTCTTGATTCATTGGCCGTCAACAAGCCTCCTTTCTTCAATGGAGCTAATTATTCTTATTAGAAGAATAGGATGATGTATTTCATTCAAGCAAGTTACATTAGAGCATGAAATATCATAGAAGACGGATACATCAAACCTTCTACTCATCCAAGATTGTGGAGTGAAGGAGAGACAAGAATGTTCCAGCTCAATTCCAAAGCTATCCATATTATTTTTTGTGCTCTTGGACCGGATGAATACGGAATAGTTTCATCTTTCACAACCGCTAAGGAGATATGGGACAAACTACAAGTCACTCATGAAGGCACAAACGAGCTAAAAGAATCTAAAATTAGTCTTCTAACTCATAGCTATGAAAATTTCAAGATGAAACCGGATGAAGATGTCAAAGATATGACGGATGGATTCTCCACGATTGTCAATAGTCTCAAATCATATGGACAAATCATTCCAAATGACAAGCTTGTAAGGAAGTTAGTTTACTCTCTTCCAAAAGCTTGGCAATCAAAGAAGACTGCGATCATCGAGGCTAAGAACTTAAAATCCTTGACCCTCGATGAACTTATTGGCTCTCTCCTCACGCATGAAATGATTCTTAAAGAATAGGAAGATCTTGAGAAAAGAGACGAGCCAAAGAAGGAGACGGAGAAGAAGAAGAACGTGGGAGTTGCTCTCAAATCAACAAAAGATGAGAGTGATTCGGATGAAGATGACGATGACGAGGAGATGGCATTGTTTGCCAAACGGTTTAGAAAAATGATGAGGCCAAACCGAGGAAGAAAATTCAAACGAAATGAAATCTTCAAAAATGAACCAAAAGAGAAGAACCCGATCATTTGCTATGAATGCAAAAAACCGGGGCATGCCAAATATGATTGCCCGCAATTGAAGAGAAAGGGTCAATCAAAGATTAAGCACAAGGCTCACGTGGCTACATGGAAAGATGAAGAAGGTTTCGATGAAGAGGAACAAAAAGTAGCAAACTTGTGCTTGATGACATTCAGGGAAGATTCTAAGGTAACCTCTAACTCATTTGATTTAGATGATTTATCTTATGATGAGTTATTAGAGGAATATTCTGGGTTGACTTCGGATTATGAGAAATTATTTTTCAAATATAAAAATGATATTTAAAAATTGAAAAATGAAAATAAACTCATATTTAAAACCAACAATGATCTTGAAAGTAAAATCAAAGATTTACATATCAAACTAGAAGAGTTTGAAAAGAAAAAATTATGATTTGCAAAATTTACTTTCAAGAGTCAATGATGATCATCAAAAGCAAATTGATGATCTTAAACCTTCTTTTGATAAAGTTGGATCAAAACGTTTTGAAAAAGGAGAAAATTCAAAACCCAACTTTGTTTGAAAAAGTTTTAAAAACTACAATCATAGAGGTCCTCAACGAACCTTAAATAGAAAAATCGTTAGAAGTATATGGATTCCTAAAGAACTCATTACTACTAAAGATAAGGATATCCTACATAAGTGGATACCTAAGGGGACTAGGATTTTGGAAACTAATGAATATGGACCCAAAATAATTTTGGTACCAAAAATAAAAAATTAATCTATGTTTGTAGAAAAAAGAGCATTGTTACAAGGCATGGGAAACAAATTCAAACTCATGGTACCTTGATAGTGGACGCTCAAGACACATGACCGGAGACAAAAGCCAGTTCATAGAGCTTAACGCCAAAAATGTAGGAGAAATAACTTTTGGTGATAATTCAAAAGGTCACATTGAAGGTATATGTACAATAGTTAATACATCTTCCATACAAATTAAAAATGTTTTATATGTGAATGGATTAAATCATAATCTTTTGAGTATTAGTCAATTATATGATAAAGGATTCAATGTCATGTTTGAAACTAATGGTTATAAGGTCATTGACATTGCATCAAATCGGATTATGCTTGTTTGAAACTAGGACATGCTAGTATGAGTGTTTTGCAACGGCTAATTCAAGGAGATTTAGTTTAAGGGTTGCCTAAACTAAACTTTGATAATGATAAAATCTGTGATGCTTGTGCTAAAGGAAAACAAAAGCGAATTTCTTTTAAATCCATTAATGGCGTATCCACTAGTAAAGTATTACAATTGATCCATTTAGATCATTTTGGGCCATCTAGAACTACAAGCTTGGGTGGAAAACAATATGCATTTGTATTGGTAGATGATTATTCTAGATATACGTGGGTTCTATTTTTAAGTACTAAAGATGAAGCATTAGAAAAATTCATCACGTTTTCAAAAGTAATCCAAAACGTAAAAGGTTACTCTATAACTAGTGTTAGGAGTGATCATGGAACTGAATTTGAAAATTTTGGATTTGCTGATTTTTGTAATTCTAATGGTATTAGCCATAATTTTTCAGCACATAGAACCCCTCAACAAAATGGAGTTGTTGAGAGGAAAAATCAAACTTTAGAAGAAATGGCTAGAACCATGCTTTGTGAAAACAATTTGCCAAAATATTTTTGGGCGGAAGCCACAAATACCACTTGTTATGTTATTAATCGAGTAATGATTAGGCCTATTTTAAAGAAAACTCCATATGAACTTTTTAAAAATAAAAAGCCTAACATTAGCTATTTTCATCCTTTTGGATGTAAATGTTTTGTTTTTGACAACGGTAAAGACAATCTTGGCAAATTTGATGCTAAAAGTGATGAAGGAGTTTTTCTGGTTATTCCTTAAATTCTAAATCTTATCGAGTATTTAATAAAAGAAATTTAGTTGTAGAAG